CTGCCGCTTGTCCCCAATCCCTGTGCCATCTAACTTACACTTATACAGTCAACAACACTACACAGGTGAGTCTTTTAAAAAAAGCCGATCCCCACCCCCCAAACCCCCGAACCCACCAACCCAACTCATTTCTCCCATTTCCCCCTCAATCCCAAGTGAGCAAAACTGCAACACCCTCTTTTGCACCCTTTTCCCTTCGTTTTTTTTGCGGGCAAGGCTGCAACAGGTATCCTTGTCACCCTCAAACATGAAGAACACCACCACCTCTACTGGCTATATCCAAGCCAAGCCCGGCTATGGGGGCTGGCTATGGCGCTGCCTTCAGCAGCGCCCTGAACCCGGCACGTCCGCGTGTGCACGCAGCAAGCAGCCCGCGAGCGATCGTTCCAGCAGCGCTGCCGCCCACAATTGCAAGTGCCCGAATGTCTCGTCGGGAGCCCAGCCCTTTCCTATATGGAAAGTGGCAGGTGCTTTCCACTTGCTTCCCACGTGAGAGTTGGTGAGACCAAGTTTCCAGTAGCTTTAGTCTCGACCAAAGTGTCTGCGCCCAGGCCTGTTCAGACAGTGGCCTGGGACCGAATAGGTTAGGCTTGCCCAAGCGCCCAGGCACAAATGTGCAGTGCTGCCTGCTTAGACCACGTTGCTGGAAGAGCCTGGAAGGCTCACGAATATTTTGGATTCTCACGGGCAAGGCGGATGTAACCAACTGGCACACGGCAACTGTCTGGCGCCCACCGAGATTTGCAAAACTTGATGAACTCCGGGCACATTGGGATTCAGGGGGCCCGCCTTCACTTATGGCGGGCACGCGCCTGCTGGAAGGCCCTAGCCGATGGGGTAAACCCTCACAATATACCCTTCACCCAATGCGCGAACAATTTTGATCTTTGCTTCATGAACAGCTCTGGGGGATCTGTGACATTTAGACAGTAGTAGACCCTGGTCTTCCCTGTACCCCACCCCGTGTCACTGCCAGAATTAGGGCATACTCAGTGTGACTCCCACTAGCACTTTCCAAAACGCATCTGACCGCAATTACGGCCAGACCTGCACAAGCCTAAGTGCAATTACGTCCACAGCATTGAGGAAAAAGTCCTAGTGTGAGTATGCCCTTAGATAGCCATAGGCCATAGGGTGTGTCTCAACCCTGTTGCCTACAGGTCTGTAGCGCAAACCTTGCTCCCGTCTGCCACTTCTGTACCTGGTGGTACTTCATTTTGACTGTCAATTCTGCTTTGGATTATTGTGCTTCTCAAATGCCTGACATCGTGAACTGGTAATCCCACTACTTCCTGCTGTGGGTCCGTTGCTGCACTGGCTGCGCTTGTACTATTTATGATCTTCGAAATTGAAATGAATTATCTTTCTGTCAGTTTCTGGTGATAAAGTCGAACTCTTGAGAGCGATTGACATCCATGTCAGAGGACTGTGCATTCCGCTAACTATGACAATTTGTCCATGTGTGTGTGTGTGTGTGTGTGTGTGTGTGTGTGTGTGTGTGTGTGTGTAAGTACTTCGTTGTGTGTGTGTGATCATGTGTGTGTGGATGTGTTTGCATGTGTGGCTTCAGTATGTCTCTCTGTTGTTCATAGGCATTCTTATTGCGACATCAATGCGTGGCTTCTTGACCAACGTGATGAAGGTACCTGTTGTTTTCTCCCCTTAAAGTTGTCTGAACCCTTCAGGCTAAAAATACACCAACTGTAGTATCTGTTCTGCTCAGTTAATATCTGATTCGTGGTTCATTGGACCACATTTTTTCAAGGAAAAAAAGGGAAAAAAGAAAACGACTCTGACGCAGGTGAAGTCTCAGAACGAATAGGGTGTCTTATTGCCTCGCGCGCATGGAGTGTGTGGTTTATTCAGAAATCTGGCCAACTTAAACATGTGACTTTGTGACATCTCTGGTGAAGGTCATCTTTTACCACAGTCAATACGAAAAAGGGGCAATGTCCTGAAAAGGTAAAGAAGTCTGGCTTCCTGCAGATTCAGAAAACGGCTTCTTCGTAACTAATCTAGTGAAGGACTATATTTTTTATTTTATATTTTTAACTAAGCTATCTTTTTCTCTGTCAAAGATTTCCCACCTCACACCAACGACCTACGTAGTACATACCTACCTCGTGCTTATCTACCCACATATCTGGGACACGAACGTCATGTCTATGCACCCAAGCAGGCTATGTCTATCTACACCAAGGCTACACAGAGGGGACCTATCTATCTACTGTACTCTGTGCAGTGCAGGGTGTAGCACCTAGGCTCCCAAGCCCCAGCAAGGGATGGCAGGGGCACGGGCGAAGGTGACCCGGGCTCCTGCCAAGGCCGGTGAAGAGAGAGGGCGGGGTGTGCAAGAGGAGAGGGGAAACCAACTATCTAAGTTTTTCTAATTTCCAAAAGAAATTGAATCAAGACCTTTTTTTGTCTTTATCAGAACAAAGTAGCTTTCAGGTGATGAAAGTCCTTCAGTGTAAATAATGTTGCCATTTTCTTGTTGGGGTCCTCTTTCGACGCTTTGTCAACAATCATCGGATGCCTGGGTGTGGAAAATCTGGTTGTCCTCAGGGCATACTCACACGAGGACGTTTTCCACAAAGCTCTAGACATGATTGCAGTCCGGTTCATCCTGGTCTCGTCGTAATTGCAGTTAGATGCATTCTGGAAAGTCCGAGTGTGAGTATGCCCTCAGTCATCAGGTGTCGACCATCGCATTGGCAGGAGGGGGCTTCCAGCCTATTGCCAATAATTGGGGAAAAGGGAGAAGGGAGGAGGGAGGAAGGAGGGAGGAAGGACGCTGAACAATAACGCTCTCACTTCGGGTCGTCCAATTCGCCCTTCGGGATGGTGCTGAAGAGTTCTAAAAAAACTCAAAATGCTTTGCAATGTGAACACGCAGTGTGTAACCGCCACCAAGCCTGTAATGCAATTCGAATTTCAAAACTGATTCTGTGAGCCTTATGCTCTCTGCTCTTTTCTCCATTTGTTTCTGCGAATGTGCTCTTTTAGGGGATAACATCAGATAGATATGTGGGGGAGGGTCATATATACATGTGGGAATATATTGTATGGTGCCCACCCATGCAGCGTCTCCGGAGCCTAGTCGTCAACTTTGTTTCTCCTTTTTTTTTTTTTTTGTTCTCCCTCTCATCGTAAAGTCCCAGTTGCTACGCTCATGCCGTATGATGTGTGGCTGCTCTGTTGCTGCTCTGTTGCTGCTCTTATTTGCAGGTCCTTAACAATCCCCTTCTGAAGGGAGGGGCCGGAAACAACACATCCAGCAACTTGGTGCTGTTTTTGACAGAGATCATGGGAATGTATTTTGTCTCCTCTATTCTGCTTATCAGGAAGAACCTTGCCTTAGAGTACAGGTAAGATGGATGGATGGATAATTTCACACAGCCAATTCATCATCTGGATTCATCGTGTCACCCCTGTTCAAACCCCACAGTTAACGGACCATCCTGCACGGGGTCTATTCATAGCAAGCATTTCAAAATCCGAACTGCTTTTTTTTATCTGTTTGTTTTTTCAATGAAAAGTTGCCGTCTCCTCGTATGGAGGGACAGCTGTTTTTTCACTCCACTACTTTGTCCTTTCTCAATATGTTGCACCTCATACTAGCCACCTACCTACATACCTCGCGCCATCTACTATCGGCATATCTAACTTTTTTTCTTTTTTCTTTTCAGGGTTTTCTTCACACAGTTGGCTGCTGCTGCGCTGGCAAGCTGGTGTGGATAAAATCAGGAACATCCAAGTGTGTGCAGTTTACCCAGAGTGGTGATTCCCATCCGGGGACTGGAATGTCCACTCTGGGTGAGCCCCACTCCGGTGGCGATTCCGATCCGGGGGTTGAAATGTCAGTAAAAGCACCACTGGAGTGACTGGATATATTTTGCCAAAAGAAGAACAAGAAGAAGAAGAAGAGGAAAAAAAAAAAGCTCCACTGTTCAAGCTTCCCCAGTGCCCTGTGCAAATAGAGAAGGACACACAGATAGAGCGCGACCATCTGCATGCCAGATACAGTTAGAGACCATCCATTCGCACGCTCAACGTGCATGCCAGTGCCCGACAATAAAATTCCGTACTTGGGGGACAGTAGCTGTGTACACATAGGGGTTGACTTTAACTGTTTAACCCCAATTAACCCGGATTAACCCCACAGTGTACTCTTTGGATCCAGTCTCTTTTCCGAAGGGCCCCCAGCAGAAAATCAGCCGAGGTCCGCGCACGTGCGCGTGCGCTATATGCCACACGTGCGCAACTCGCGCGCATGTGATGCGCTGCAAGTATGGTATCGACCTGTGTCTCTGACACTTCAGAAATTTGTCACTGTACATCTCTCTTTTATCGACATCTCTCGGTCACAGCATCTAGTCCAAAGGATGTAGAACGCTGGATGGAAGGGACCTGGGAAGCGGGGGAGTGCGGGGGACAGGGGGGGTGGGAGAGGGGAGTGCAAAAGAACACTGGAAAATTATTATAATCACAGCTCACGTCCTTTGGAACATCTGTTAAAATTGTGACGATAGTACCATACAGAGAAGATTAGCATGGCCACAGCCCGAGGATGACACGCATAAATCGAGAATGGTCCAAAAAACAAAAGCAAGAAAAAATCGCAGCTCATGAACAACACAGTTTACTTCCATACAGAGGATTGCCCAGGTGTGTGTGTGTGGGGTATTTTCTCTTTCGGTGCCCCCTGGCTCCAAGCACCCCCCCCCCCCCCCCCCCCCCCCCCGGCCTCTCCCCTTTCCCCTCATCATTAATGTTATGCTTCTCAGATCTCGTGATCTGACACTCTGACACGATGGTTTTCCTGATCGGGGCTTTGTTTCATTGTTCGTGTTTAAATCTTGCATGATTGGTGGTGCAGGGAAGTTATCACGGATGCGCTTGGCGGCGATATCCAGTTCAACTTCTACCATCGTTGGTTTGATGCGATTTTCATCGTGAGCGCGACTCTCTCGATTCTTTTTGTGTTTGCTCTGCATGCCACCAGACAAAGCCAGAAACATCCTGTAGACTGATGTTGGTTTGTTGAAACGGGAGAGGAATAAATAAAAATAGTAATAATGATGGGGAAGAGGACGAGGGCATGCAATGGATGAAAGCAATAACACATCCCCGCAAATGCTCCTGTGGACCGTGGTAGCACCGTAGCACCCTTTGTACGATTACGCCTTAGACAGGCGCATGTCAGCACTCTGACCCATTGTTGATTCTCTTCCATCTTCTCATTCCGCAGGAACAAATGCTCAACCACCTTCTCTTCTCATTGCTGGCCCAGCACCTGCTAGTCATTTCTTTTTGTGCTCCCATTAGAGGGCTTGTTATAGAATTATCCCATCCACGTTCAGGGGTTTTGTCCCGTCCGTTAAGATTTCACACCTGTGAACCACATTTGAGCACTTCTTGCCCCGGCCTGGCCTGCTGAGTGATCCCTCTTCATGCATGTCTTCCTTGCGTGGAGAGCGGAGGCAGACCTCACTTTTCCTGTTGCCAGATATCGACAATCTGGTCCACCATGGCCAAGTGCTGTCCGACCTGGAAGATCGGCTTCCATAAGAAACCTCAACACGTCCATGCAGCCCGTTTCCACCAAGCCTGCAACCTTGAATAGATGATGGATGTGCTTCAGGTAGCGAAAGACCCCTCTGACAGGGCTGGTTTTCCTTGGCGTTTGAAGTGTACCTTTTTCACAAAATGACAGTAGAAGCTAGTTGTTTGCCTTCCTAAGCTGTAACATAATCATTATTTCACGTCAAGGCAATACGGGAGCAAGCTCATGTGAAATTATCTCCTTCCTGTGCTGCCTCGGACAGGGAAAACACAATGTAGGGCAATGTGGTTGCCTACTTTTCAGGAATCTCTCTCTCTCTCTCTCTCTCTCTCTCTCTCTCTCTCTCTCTCTCTCTCTCTCTCTCTCTCTCTCTCTCTCTCTCTCTCTCT